ACACACACACACACACACACACACACAAGAAATTGCGTGGCTAGCAATACTGCGGGAGTTCGCGACCAAAGACCGATACTAGCAGCCCCAGAGCTCGGATATAATAATTATATCCTAATAATTGTGGTATTATATTGCGGAATAACGTATTATTGGAAATCACAGGTTCCCGTAAAATTTCCAATATCATCCGTAATAATTGTATTGACTTCTTACCACAAGGAAAAAATGACAAAAGTAAATCTCGTGGTTGACCAAGACTATATCGAATGGTTGGCTCCTACAGGTCTTACCCCAGTTCTGCATCATCTCATGACTGCTCATTCTCAATTCTGACAAGTACAAGCATCATGTTCACCTCTCGAGCCATCGAGCCATTTCAAGCTTCTTCTACACCGACCGCGGTGTCGGTCAGTTCTCCTGCAAGCTGTGCGGAAACGTCCGCAAGCAAGCCTCCGGAACAGGCAACGCCAGCCGTATAATTTTGAGTGGCAAGAGACCCGAGCCAGGACCATAAAGGACCTAGTGACAGCCACCAGCTTCGTAACAGGTGTGGGTCTCGAATCCGTGCGTAGTGGATTGGTAGGGTCGTTCCCAACCCACTACACCGTTATGACCCTTGCAATATAGTGTAATAATTAAATAATTTATTATTGGTTTTACCGATACGGAATAACGTATTATGTTGTCAAAAAACGTCAATACAATTTTATATTTTATTGTCCGGGCTATTAACAACCTGACGCCAGAATATGTTTAAACAGGCTACTTTGCTCAACGTTCAGCTACATTTTGAGGTCGACTGAGTGTTGAGCGAGATAACATCGAGCGAGTTACGCAGTACCGTAAAATTAACCCCTTTAGGGTTGTCGATACCTAAAGGTATTCCCAGTATTAACCCTTTTATAACTCTTCGGTGTAAGCTTCAAGCGATTACGTGTGACCGACTAGATCGTAATCGTGTAAATTCGTTTTGTGTTGCATCAGCTGTATTGAATTAGCACGAATGAGCGATCATAAATGAAATTTAGCAGCTTGCTGGCGAGAACAAACCTACTCGTTCACCTCACAATAATCGAGCAACCAAGTATACTAATACCGTTCGAAGGATTTTTTTTTATTGCTCTTCACGCTACCCAGTCCAAGCCTGTTCTTCTTCTTCAAAAATATCAAATATTAGGTATCAAGTCCAGAGCATCTGTAGAATCCGAACGATTCCATCCCAGAATCACAATCATGGCAAGATAAAACCACGAGCTATGCGATCACCATCGATGATGAATTGGCCCAGCGAGAGCTCTGGGAGCTGGCTGTGACCTCCACAGTCTTCAGTTTGCTCGCTCAACGCCAAGTCCTCTCGAGTTCCAAGACATACAGGTATGCGAGTAGGCTACGTCATACTAGCCACTTTAGCCACGCTTCTCGCCAGTACCAACGCCAAGTTAACATCGACAGATTCTGTTTTCAACAAAAAGTTCACGATCACGAACCCGGACTCCAGCGAAGCAATTGACGGAGTATATCTCCGACAAGGGAATGACAAGTACGTGATTTTCCGTCTAAGTGGTGATGAAGACGCACCCATGGAGGATCCCGCCGAAGACGATTCAGCATCGGGCGGAAAGGAAGAG